TTTTTTTTTTTTTTTAAAAACCTCCCCTTTCAAAAAGTTAGGAATATGTTGCTGCTAAAATACCTGTTGTTTTTTCTCACTCTCTGTTATAATTTACATGGTTAATGCACCATATCAGGTATTTTGAGGTGAGACTACTCCACCTAACTCTCTGATTTTATCTCATTTATCTGATTTTGTCTCATTTCTCCTCGCTGTTTAGAAGCTGCTTTTCATGACTGCCTTTTGTGCTGTGAGAACACAAAGCAGTTCCTGTGGCAGGGACCCCTTCCTGGAATTTTTGCCTCCATTCCCTTCCTATTAAAAATAGATGTGCAGCAAAACACCCCAGAGCAAAGGAAGCTAGCCTAGAGCTTCCCTTGCTCGGAGCTGCATCTGCTGAGTTGCCTGGTTCAGAAGCAGTGTGGGGGGAACTTGACCACCCGGCCGGTGACTTGGGCAAAGGGGCCATCAGAGCATTGCCTCCCAAGTCCGGTGACTCTTCGAGACAAGAAAATGAGTGTGATGACTGAGCAAGCCGTGCTCTGCTGACCTTCTCACCCCAGCTAATTCCCACTGGACTCTGACCCCGCAGGTGCCCCAGGGAGTCCTGGATCGAAGTGAGGTGATCACTCTGAACATCACCGGGAAAGCTGGAGCCTCTCTGGACCTTCTGGTGGAGAACATGGGACGTGTGAACTATGGCAGAGATATCAATGATTTTAAGGTAGGACCGACCTCACTGTCAGGAATGAGGTTCAAAGTTTGACAGAACTGTGCCTGTGCTGCCACCCGAGGAAGGTTCTGGAAAGCCATTTAAAAACTCACATATACCTTCTTCTCCTCCAGCCCTGTTCACACACAAAAGCGATTTTTAAAACCGTGCACACTTTGCCAAGTTTGGCAAGTGAACCTACTGTGATTTGTTTTGCAACTTCAGAGTTGGGTTATTTTGAAGACCTGTTTTCCTCTGCAGGTGATGAGAAAGTTGTGCTTTGCAAAGAGAACCCTTGCTTTGTGTTCAGGTTCAGTCACCCGGTAGGAAGAAACAGAAGGAGGAAGCAACTGCACCGTGCTGCTCCTTTGCTTAACAGACCCAGCTCACTTTCGAAAGGCACTTGATCTCCGACAAAGCCAGCCTAGCATTTGGTCTGCTCTGTTTTCTGGGTATGGACAGTCCATGACAATGTCTTGAATTGTAGAAAGCCTTTCCCTTGATGCACGGCCTCTCATCCCTGCTGGTTACTCTGTGTCCAGGTGTCTAGCCCTAGCCCGAATATTGTTCCTTGGAAAACATTTTTCGAGCATTATTCAGCAAACACTTGTTAAGCTCATACTCTGTAAGATGCTCCGCAAGGTGCTTTGGGGCATGCAAAGATGTTGAGATACAGGCTTCCCGAAAGGTGGCTCACCATCTGCTAGAAGAGAGAAGGCCCGCATCGAAGGATTGATGGTACCACCCGCTCTAGGACAGAACTGGTGTATGGGGCTACTTCCTGACCCTCTTGGTGCAGCTCAGAGGCAAGGCGATTACCCTCTTAGAGAATGGCCGTGTGGGGCAACCTTTACCTCCAGTAGAAATGTCCCCGTTAAAGTCCTTGTGCTCAGGCTGTAGTTAGTGGCCTTCCTGCTTGGCTGTCACAGGCCATGTTGACACACGGAGTGAAAGGGATTCTTGTGTAGTCTCTGGGTCCCGGTACCCAGCAAGGGACCCGCACACAGCTGCCTGGTTCATGTTTATTGAATTACTAAGGGGGCAGTTGAGACTTGGTACTGAGAGTTGTCCTGGGATGAATTTGGGATCTCCTGGGGAATGGAGAAGTTCACCATGTAAAAGGCGGGAGAGAGGAAGCTAGGTGAGCCGTGAGCATAGGCTTCAGTGCAGTGGCCGGTGCCGTGGACACCCCGGCCTGCTGACCCAGCTGGATGAATAGAGCCAGCTGTTCACCTTCATCATCACTTCCTTTCTATCCTTCCACAGATATCAAAGTATCCTCGTTTATGGTTACCTCACTGAGTCCCACGGTGGGTGAATGGACTCAGGCGTGATCATCCCATGAGTGCTGCTGAGGGGCTTAATGCCAAGACTTGCTCCTGGTCATATGAGGGGGCAGAATCTGTCCCCCCCAGCCCCCATTATAGTGGCTAGGTGTTCTTCTGCATTCCTGACTCCATTCATTCTCCCGTGCCTCAGATGCCATCATCCCTTCCATTCAGCAGTGACTCTGAACCAAACATTGAAGATCGGGGGTCACGGGGTCAGAAGCTCTGGCCTCAAGCCAGATGTCACTTTGACATATGCACAGTTGGAGTCTCACTTACTGTTGGTGTTTCATATCCTAGTTTGTTCTCCTCAAGAATTCAGGGAGGGACACAGAGACACTTGAAGCCTTTTGCTTCCCACCCCAGCTCATTGCTGTGTTTCTCCTTTACAGGGTCTTATTTCTAATCTGACCCTTGGTTCCAATATCCTCACGGACTGGATGATCTTCCCACTGGACACTGAGGATGCGGTGCGCAGACACCTGGGAGACTGGCATGGCTGTAACAATGGACGCCATGATAAAGCCTTGGCCCACAGCTCGTCTAACTACACGCTGCCGGCCTTTTATACGGGGAACTTCTCTATTCCCAGTGGGATCCCAGACTTGCCCCAGGACACCTTTATCCAATTTCCTGGATGGACCAAGGTACGTGTCTTCGTGGAAAGTGATAAAGAATCAAAAAGAGCTGCTGATGAGATGGTGTGTGACAGTTCGGGAGTGGAGGGCTTTCCGTGTTAGTTTATCCATTCCTCAGTAGTGGGACCTTGGCCGATCTTCAGAGACTCAATGGCCAGCTTGAATATGTACCCTCTGCCCCATTTTCACTGACTGACAACTTCCTTGAGCAAATGATGGCTTTCCTGCTTCCTGTAAGAAAAACTCTAGCTCCTTTGGATACTGCTTATGAGGGACACTTTCTCTTTCTCTTGGAGAAGATTTGGTCCAGGCAAAGGGGTGAATCACTGGGAGAACTTGTTTTTCTTTTGTCCGGGCCTACCTCTGTACCCCCACGACACCCCACCAGCCCTACACCCTGGGACATCCACCACTGTCTGCATGATCTTCTGCTCTTCCTTGGCCATTTTACTGCCTGATCACCCTCCCTCCCCTTTATTCTTTGAAGACGTTTGCATGTCTTCCTTCACTGTTGTCTTCTTTACTTCAGTCCTATTTTCATCTTGGGTGACCTTACCATGACTCAGTTATTCATTCAACAAGTATTTTTCACTGGCCACTCCGTGCCTAAGCTTTGTGCCAGGTGCTAAGGATACAACGATGAACAGTAAGGATACAATGACTTGCCCTCATGGAACTTACATGCTAGTTGGGGAGACAGACCCAAATCATATAATCACCCAAATTAAATGGTGAGACTGTAGCTGCAGTGAGTGGTAAGAAGAAATATGGGAGTTGATAATAACTGGGGCATTTGACCTTGTCAGGAAGGTCAGTGAAGCCTTCCCTGTGGGAGTAATGCTTGACAGAGATATGAAGGATAAGAAGGAATTAATGTGGCAAAAGGGGGAGGGAAACATATTCCAGGCAGAGGAGATAGCATGTGCAAAGGCCATGTGGTCATAGGGGAAATGAGGAGCTTGAGGACCTGGTAAAGGACCCGAATGTAGGGTTTAGGTGTGGAGTGTGGTTCAGAGAGAAGACTAGAAAGTGGGTAGAGATGAGATTGGAATAGGCCAATTAAAGTTTTTCTTTGTGTTGAGAGCCTTTGAAGCAGGAGGGTGCCATCACATGATTGTGATGGGACAAACCTCTCTGACCCCAGGGTACAGAGAGGGCTGGGTGAGGGCACCTGTGAATTTGTGGAAGCTATCTAGGTGACTGGACTGTAGTCTCAGTGAGAGACTAGGATGGTGGTAGCCAAGATGGAGATGATATCAACTATCTGAGAGATGTGTGACGTTAAATCAATGAGATGTAATGATGGATTGGTTATTGGGGTTTAGAGAGAAGGACATATCCTGGATGACTCTTAGGTCCCAGGCTGGTAGCTGGGCAGATGGTACCATTTATTGAAAGAAGAGTTTTCAGAGGAAAACATGGGCTAGCAGGGGGAGATCATGAGTTGGATTTGGACAGATTGAGTTTGAGAGGCCTTTGAGAACAGCTGAGAGAAGATACTGGAGGAGGGCTGTGGGATCTGTGGATGGAGAAGTTGGAGGAGGGATCTGGGCTGGGAATATATGTATCAGATCATCTGTGTGTGGATGGTCATGGAGACATGGGATGGAGGAGATCCCCTAAGGAGAAAGGATGCGGAAGGAAGAAAAGAGGCACAAACATGGCGGGCAGAGAGTGAGGAGGAAAACTGGCATTTGTGCTGCTGAGGGGATGAGTGAAAGACAGGAGCTCTTCTACGGGATGTAGTAACACGGAGCTCCCTGGGACCCTCAGCAAGTGTATGGGAGTGGGGCATCCACAGGCTGCATTGCATGCTACTGAGGAGTGTCAGATAAAGGAACAAACTTGGGAACGTAAATGTGTTTGTTTGGTTTTTTTTTAAGATTTTATTTATTTATTTGACAGAGAGAGACACAGCAAGAGAGGGAACATAGGCAGGGGGAGTGGGAGAGGGAGAAGCAGGCTTCCTGCGGAGCAGGGAGCCCGATGAGGGACTCAATCCCAGGACCCTGGGATCATGACCTGAGCCGAAGGCAGATGCTTAATGACTGAGCCACCCAGGCACCCCAGGAGCATAAATTTGGATACTTGAATATACACATTGTTTTTGAGAATTTTGACCCTGAAGGAGAAGAGGAGAAAAGTATATAAATCACTTTTAAGAGGGAAAAAGATGCGCACAACATTTGTTTAAGAAATGTCCTTTTGGGGCTCCTGGGTGGCTCAGTCAGTTAAACGTCCGACTCTTGATTTTGGCTCAGGTCATGATCTCAGGGTTGTGAGATTGAGCCCCATGTCAGGTTCTGCACTGAACGAACGTGCAGTCTGCTTAAGACTCTCTCTCTCCCTCTCCTTCCCCCCTCCTGCATCCTCTCTCTCTCTCTCAAAAAAATAATCTCATAGATTATTTAGAAATGTGTTATTTAATTTCCATATATTTGTAAGGGTTTTTTTTTAGCATCTTATTTTTATTGATTTCTAATTTAATTTCTCTATAAAACTCCTCTAGAAGAAGGAAGAAAGTCTATGACCTTCAATTAGGCAAAGACTTTTTTTTTAAAAGATTTTATTTATTTATTTATTTGACAGAGAGAGAGACAGTGAGAGAGGGAACACAGTCAGGGGGAGTGGGAGAGGGAGAAGCAGACTTCCTGCTGAGCAGGGAGCCCGATGTGGGCCTTTATCCCAGGACCCTGGGATCTTGACCTGAGCCGAAGGCAGATGCTTAACAACTGAGCCACCCAAGCGCCCCTAGGAAAAGATTTTTTAGATTTGACACCTAACGCATGACCCTTAAAGGAAAAAGTGATAAATTGGAGTTCATCAAAATTAAAAATGTTTGCTGTTCAAAAGAAATCATTAAGAAAATGAAAATCCGAGCCACAGAATGGGAGAAAATCATATGTTTAGCAAAGGATTTGTTTCTAGAATACATCGAGAATTCTTACAACTCAATAATAGGAAGATAAACAACCCAGTCAAAAAATGTGCAAATTTCACCAAAGGAGATATACAAATGGCCGATAAGTACATGTATAATGCTCTCAACATCATTAATCGTTAGAAAAGTACAAATCAAAACCACAGTGAAATACTACTTCACACCCACTAGAATGGCTATACTAATAAAAGATAGACAATAACAAATTTTGGCAAGGATATAGAGAAGTGAGAACCTTCCTATGTCACTTGTGGGAATGTAAAATGATACAAACACTTGGGAACACGGTTTGGGGTTTCTTCAAAGGTTAAACACGGACTGAGGAGTTCCACTTCTGGGTGTATACCTGAGAGAAATGAAAACCTATGTCTACTCAAAGACTTCTGTGCAAATATTTAGAGCAGCATAATTCATAATAACCCCAAACTGGATGTAATTCAAATGTCCATCAACTGATTAATGGGTAAATAAAATGTGGTATATCCATACAAAAGAATAGTGTCCCACAGTAAAACAGAACAGACTACCGATACACGCTACAATGTGGATGAATCTGAAAAACATGCTAAGCAAAAGAAGCCAGACATAAAAGACCACATGCTGTAGGATTCCATTTATATGAAATGTTCAGAAAAGGCAAATCTGTAGAGAAGAAAAAGTAGGTTGATAGTTGTCTGGGGCTGAATGGGAATGGAGAGTGACTGCAAGTAGATATGGGGTTTCTTTTGGGGATGATGGAAATGTTCCAAAATTAAATCATGGTGATGGTTCCACGGTCTTCTTAAATGTATTGAAACTTGTTTCATGACCGAGCACATGGTGTATCTTGGTGAACGTACCTCCAGAATTTTAAGCTGTGATATCCTCTCTCTTGCTACGTGTTTCTATCCCCCAAACTCTCATGCCCTCCAGCCTGCTCTTGGATCTTATTGATGACCTGAAACTCTCCCCCATTAAGGCCACAGTTCTTCCCTATCCAGTCTAGACATCACTACTAATATTTTTTTTTAAAGATTTTATTTATTTGACAGAGAGAGAGACAGCAGGAGAAGGAACACAAGCAGAGGGAGTGGGAGATGGAGAAGCAGGCTTCCCACAGAGCAGGGAACCCGATGCAGGGCTTGATCCCAGGACCCTGAGATCACGACCCGAGCCGAAGGCAGTCGCTTAACGACTGAGCCACCCAGGAGCCCCTACAGCGTATATCTTTTAAGAAAAAGGACATTCTCCTACATAATCACAATATAATGATGAGACTTAAAAAATTTACCATTGATATAATCCTATTATTTAATATGCATTCTATAGTCAAGTATCCAATGACATCCTTGATATCTAACTTTTTTCAATCCAGTTTCTACTCTATGATCACACATTGCATTAAGCTACAATGTCCCTTTAGTCTTCTTTCATCTGTAACTATTCCTAAGTCTTGTTTCTCCTCTCTCTCTTTCTCGCTACATGGACATTTCTGAAGAGTTTGGGCCAGTTGTTTTGTAGACTGCCCCTCACTGATTAGATTCAGTAACACATTTTTGGCGGGAACACGACAAAGGTGGTGTGTCCTTCTCAGAGCGCCGTGTCAGGATGCCCGTGAGGTCAGTTTGTCCCTTTGTTGTGATGTTAAGTTTGAACACTTCGTTAGGAATTCAGCCCCATTTTTTGAAATGGAAACTTATCTGGAACCCCCTTCACTGACTGTCTGTGGAGATCCCCTTCTGGAAGGTGATAAAACAATGGCATATCTAATCTTAGTTTAGTGTATTTTGCCCCTAGTGACTTACTTTTTACACTTGTGATTTTTATTCCAGCAACTCTGTGATCAATAAAATGAGTAATGAGCCCCCTCTCGTTAACACTGGATAGAATTCTTGCTCTAGCTCCAGCCAACACAGGCTATGTGTCCACATCTTCATCTAGGATGCACCCCGCCTTCTCCACCTCGTAGGGGAGCACTTCGGCAAGACATGGTCACTAGAGCACTTGGAACCTGGGAAGTGGGTTCCAGGTTGGTGTGGAGACACTTGTACTCATTGTTCTTGGCCGGACCCTCCTGCTTTGCGATCTCTGGCCAAGGCAGTGCTCGAGGACGGGGGGGACTCCCTGGGCCCTGGCTGTTTCAGGTCTGGGGCAAGCCTGCTGGATGTTTATTTCCAGCGAAACCCATCGAGGGCCCAGCTGCAGGGAATAGGGTGCAGCCCTGTTACCTCTGCAGCTGCCCGCCCCCCCATCCCCCACTTCGGTGGCCTCAGCCACCTTCGCAGGGAGGACTGCAGCTTCTGCTCCCCTCGTTGAAGCCCTGCACAAAGTGTTCCTCAGCCTCTCAGTTAGGACTTACCACTTTGGTTACTTTGAAAAGAAAAAAAACAAAAAACAAGAGCTGGAGATTTGGGGTCTGGGAGGGGAGGCATCCTTGTGCCTGAAGCCTGGGGTCATGGCCCCAGGGACATTTCTTGAATTCAGCCCTTTCCTGCAACACAGGAACGTGGGTTAACGTTGGGGTTTTTTCAGCTCCTCCAGATCAAATGCAAAGGTGTTTGCATTTGCCGAGATGCACTTCCTTGCTTTCTGGGCCCTAGACACGAGGAACTGTTTCTCTGCCCCATGCTGGATGTCTGTTGGATGCTCTTGTATGGCGGGGTCTGATCCAGCTCACCCTGGCCAAAGTCCGCAGCAAGAGCGTCACCAGCTGAGGCTGAGGGTGCTGTTGCTGCTGGGGCTGATAGTCTGGCGCCTTCCTCTCAGACCAGGGATACCAGCATCTATGCGACTGTTTTCTGACTTAGCAACAGGCTACACCCCCATCTCTCACTATCTCTATCCCCGCCACCCCCGGCCCTCCACTTTAAACAGTTTCTGGTTGACTCTTGTGTTGTATGTTAGAGCACATGTAGCCCAAGAACCTGGAAAATGTTTTACCGAACATTCTTGGCTTTGTTGTTGTTTGTTTGTTGTTGTTTTTTTAAGATTTTATTTTTAAGTAACCTCTATACCCCATGTGGGGCTTGACATCACGACCCCGAGATCAAGAATCACATGTTCTACCTGCTGAGCCAGCCAGGCGACCCGGTTTGTCTTTTTGGTTGTTGTGTTGTGTTGTGTCGTGTTTTTGAGATACCAGAAATAACCTTTCGATATATATGATAGGATCCCCCCGAGTGATTCTGGGCAAATCATCAAACATGTTCCAGAGTCTGGTTTCCTCGTGTGGGAAAGGGCTGTCTGATAAAATGTGGGTTCCTTGCTGTTACTGCCGTGCTAGTGTCTGATCTAAAACTGTAAGCCGGGTCCCTTCATTCAGACTGAATTTTTGTGGGAGGCTGGGAAACCTCTTAGAAACATCGCTTTCCCACAGATCGAGGTGACCAGGGTATCTTTAAAAGAGTGATGTGTTTTTCTTATGTCTTTTTCTAACCAGTATTTTGGGTTTGTGCTGTACCGAACAACGCTTCCTCAAGACTGCAGTGACCCCACACCCCTGTCGTCACCCCTCAGTGGAGTCCACGACCGGGCCTACGTCGCCGTGGATGGGGTAAGAGCTGTCTCTGAGCTGTGTGCTTGTCTGCCCCAGCAGGGCGACATGTGGTCTGCGCTTGGTAATGTGGCATTCCAGGCCATTGCCCACCTTTCCAAACTCGGGCTCTGCGCCTCCTCTTGATGTCCCTTCGCTGTGCCCCCTTGCTTGCCAATGTGGCCTCACCCATGCTCCCTCTGCCTGGAATATGCCCCCTCACCCATCTGAACCTGGAGGGGAGTGCTCAAGGCTCCGCTCTTCTCAGAGACCTCCCCGGTCTCCCCAGTCCACGCCACCCTCTCTGCCCCATCACAGAATGTTGCCCGTGTGTCCTTCGCTCCTTGAGAACAGGGTCCGTGTTGTACACGCTGGAGCGCTGATTCATTTAACCCTGCGCCTTCATCCTGTGTGAGAAATCCCATTCTACAGCACTGTTCATGATAACGATCGCTATAATACGCAGAGATCTTTGTCTCCAAACACAGCAAAGACACACTGAAATAATCATGTGAAAGAACACATGAGGAGATTGTTCGAACCGAGGCAATTTGTTCAGAAATTTTAAATTAAAATGTTTCCATTCTCGGGGCGCCTGAGTGGCTCAGTCGTTAAGCGTCTGCCTTCGGCTCGGGTCATGATCCGGGGTCCTGGGATCAAGCCCCGCATCGGGCTCCCTGCTCCGCGGGAAGCCTGCTTCTCCCTCTCCCACTCCCCCTGCTTGTGTTCCCTATCTCGCTGTGTCTCTCTCTGTTAAATAAATAAAAAAATCTTAAAAAAAATGTTTCCATTCTCTTGTGATCAAAGGCTTTCATTTCAGTGGGAGCAAGTTTCTAGGACATTATGTGTATATTGCCCATGTGTATACTGATGGCAGTTTCTTGAGTTCCATTTTAGGGGTTGTCTTAGTGAATTATAGTCAGTGTAGCTTCATTTTTTTTTTTTTTTTAAAAACCTCCCCTTTCAAAAAGTTAGGAATATGTTGCTGCTAAAATACCTGTTGTTTTTTCTCACTCTCTGTTATAATTTACATGGTTAATGCACCATATCAGGTATTTTGAGGTGAGACTACTCCACCTAACTCTCTGATTTTATCTCATTTATCTGATTTTGTCTCATTTCTCCTCGCTGTTTAGAAGCTGCTTTTCATGACTGCCTTTTGTGCTGTGAGAACACAAAGCAGTTCCTGTGGCAGGGACCCCTTCCTGGAATTTTTGCCTCCATTCCCTTCCTATTAAAAATAGATGTGCAGCAAAACACCCCAGAGCAAAGGAAGCTAGCCTAGAGCTTCCCTTGCTCGGAGCTGCATCTGCTGAGTTGCCTGGTTCAGAAGCAGTGTGGGGGGAACTTGACCACCCGGCCGGTGACTTGGGCAAAGGGGCCATCAGAGCATTGCCTCCCAAGTCCGGTGACTCTTCGAGACAAGAAAATGAGTGTGATGACTGAGCAAGCCGTGCTCTGCTGACCTTCTCACCCCAGCTAATTCCCACTGGACTCTGACCCCGCAGGTGCCCCAGGGAGTCCTGGATCGAAGTGAGGTGATCACTCTGAACATCACCGGGAAAGCTGGAGCCTCTCTGGACCTTCTGGTGGAGAACATGGGACGTGTGAACTATGGCAGAGATATCAATGATTTTAAGGTAGGACCGACCTCACTGTCAGGAATGAGGTTCAAAGTTTGACAGAACTGTGCCTGTGCTGCCACCCGAGGAAGGTTCTGGAAAGCCATTTAAAAACTCACATATACCTTCTTCTCCTCCAGCCCTGTTCACACACAAAAGCGATTTTTAAAACCGTGCACACTTTGCCAAGTTTGGCAAGTGAACCTACTGTGATTTGTTTTGCAACTTCAGAGTTGGGTTATTTTGAAGACCTGTTTTCCTCTGCAGGTGATGAGAAAGTTGTGCTTTGCAAAGAGAACCCTTGCTTTGTGTTCAGGTTCAGTCACCCGGTAGGAAGAAACAGAAGGAGGAAGCAACTGCACCGTGCTGCTCCTTTGCTTAACAGACCCAGCTCACTTTCGAAAGGCACTTGATCTCCGACAAAGCCAGCCTAGCATTTGGTCTGCTCTGTTTTCTGGGTATGGACAGTCCATGACAATGTCTTGAATTGTAGAAAGCCTTTCCCTTGATGCACGGCCTCTCATCCCTGCTGGTTACTCTGTGTCCAGGTGTCTAGCCCTAGCCCGAATATTGTTCCTTGGAAAACATTTTTCGAGCATTATTCAGCAAACACTTGTTAAGCTCATACTCTGTAAGATGCTCCGCAAGGTGCTTTGGGGCATGCAAAGATGTTGAGATACAGGCTTCCCGAAAGGTGGCTCACCATCTGCTAGAAGAGAGAAGGCCCGCATCGAAGGATTGATGGTACCACCCGCTCTAGGACAGAACTGGTGTATGGGGCTACTTCCTGACCCTCTTGGTGCAGCTCAGAGGCAAGGCGATTACCCTCTTAGAGAATGGCCGTGTGGGGCAACCTTTACCTCCAGTAGAAATGTCCCCGTTAAAGTCCTTGTGCTCAGGCTGTAGTTAGTGGCCTTCCTGCTTGGCTGTCACAGGCCATGTTGACACACGGAGTGAAAGGGATTCTTGTGTAGTCTCTGGGTCCCGGTACCCAGCAAGGGACCCGCACACAGCTGCCTGGTTCATGTTTATTGAATTACTAAGGGGGCAGTTGAGACTTGGTACTGAGAGTTGTCCTGGGATGAATTTGGGATCTCCTGGGGAATGGAGAAGTTCACCATGTAAAAGGCGGGAGAGAGGAAGCTAGGTGAGCCGTGAGCATAGGCTTCAGTGCAGTGGCCGGTGCCGTGGACACCCCGGCCTGCTGACCCAGCTGGATGAATAGAGCCAGCTGTTCACCTTCATCATCACTTCCTTTCTATCCTTCCACAGATATCAAAGTATCCTCGTTTATGGTTACCTCACTGAGTCCCACGGTGGGTGAATGGACTCAGGCGTGATCATCCCATGAGTGCTGCTGAGGGGCTTAATGCCAAGACTTGCTCCTGGTCATATGAGGGGGCAGAATCTGTCCCCCCCAGCCCCCATTATAGTGGCTAGGTGTTCTTCTGCATTCCTGACTCCATTCATTCTCCCGTGCCTCAGATGCCATCATCCCTTCCATTCAGCAGTGACTCTGAACCAAACATTGAAGATCGGGGGTCACGGGGTCAGAAGCTCTGGCCTCAAGCCAGATGTCACTTTGACATATGCACAGTTGGAGTCTCACTTACTGTTGGTGTTTCATATCCTAGTTTGTTCTCCTCAAGAATTCAGGGAGGGACACAGAGACACTTGAAGCCTTTTGCTTCCCACCCCAGCTCATTGCTGTGTTTCTCCTTTACAGGGTCTTATTTCTAATCTGACCCTTGGTTCCAATATCCTCACGGACTGGATGATCTTCCCACTGGACACTGAGGATGCGGTGCGCAGACACCTGGGAGACTGGCATGGCTGTAACAATGGACGCCATGATAAAGCCTTGGCCCACAGCTCGTCTAACTACACGCTGCCGGCCTTTTATACGGGGAACTTCTCTATTCCCAGTGGGATCCCAGACTTGCCCCAGGACACCTTTATCCAATTTCCTGGATGGACCAAGGTACGTGTCTTCGTGGAAAGTGATAAAGAATCAAAAAGAGCTGCTGATGAGATGGTGTGTGACAGTTCGGGAGTGGAGGGCTTTCCGTGTTAGTTTATCCATTCCTCAGTAGTGGGACCTTGGCCGATCTTCAGAGACTCAATGGCCAGCTTGAATATGTACCCTCTGCCCCATTTTCACTGACTGACAACTTCCTTGAGCAAATGATGGCTTTCCTGCTTCCTGTAAGAAAAACTCTAGCTCCTTTGGATACTGCTTATGAGGGACACTTTCTCTTTCTCTTGGAGAAGATTTGGTCCAGGCAAAGGGGTGAATCACTGGGAGAACTTGTTTTTCTTTTGTCCGGGCCTACCTCTGTACCCCCACGACACCCCACCAGCCCTACACCCTGGGACATCCACCACTGTCTGCATGATCTTCTGCTCTTCCTTGGCCATTTTACTGCCTGATCACCCTCCCTCCCCTTTATTCTTTGAAGACGTTTGCATGTCTTCCTTCACTGTTGTCTTCTTTACTTCAGTCCTATTTTCATCTTGGGTGACCTTACCATGACTCAGTTATTCATTCAACAAGTATTTTTCACTGGCCACTCCGTGCCTAAGCTTTGTGCCAGGTGCTAAGGATACAACGATGAACAGTAAGGATACAATGACTTGCCCTCATGGAACTTACATGCTAGTTGGGGAGACAGACCCAAATCATATAATCACCCAAATTAAATGGTGAGACTGTAGCTGCAGTGAGTGGTAAGAAGAAATATGGGAGTTGATAATAACTGGGGCATTTGACCTTGTCAGGAAGGTCAGTGAAGCCTTCCCTGTGGGAGTAATGCTTGACAGAGATATGAAGGATAAGAAGGAATTAATGTGGCAAAAGGGGGAGGGAAACATATTCCAGGCAGAGGAGATAGCATGTGCAAAGGCCATGTGGTCATAGGGGAAATGAGGAGCTTGAGGACCTGGTAAAGGACCCGAATGTAGGGTTTAGGTGTGGAGTGTGGTTCAGAGAGAAGACTAGAAAGTGGGTAGAGATGAGATTGGAATAGGCCAATTAAAGTTTTTCTTTGTGTTGAGAGCCTTTGAAGCAGGAGGGTGCCATCACATGATTGTGATGGGACAAACCTCTCTGACCCCAGGGTACAGAGAGGGCTGGGTGAGGGCACCTGTGAATTTGTGGAAGCTATCTAGGTGACTGGACTGTAGTCTCAGTGAGAGACTAGGATGGTGGTAGCCAAGATGGAGATGATATCAACTATCTGAGAGATGTGTGACGTTAAATCAATGAGATGTAATGATGGATTGGTTATTGGGGTTTAGAGAGAAGGACATATCCTGGATGACTCTTAGGTCCCAGGCTGGTAGCTGGGCAGATGGTACCATTTATTGAAAGAAGAGTTTTCAGAGGAAAACATGGGCTAGCAGGGGGAGATCATGAGTTGGATTTGGACAGATTGAGTTTGAGAGGCCTTTGAGAACAGCTGAGAGAAGATACTGGAGGAGGGCTGTGGGATCTGTGGATGGAGAAGTTGGAGGAGGGATCTGGGCTGGGAATATATGTATCAGATCATCTGTGTGTGGATGGTCATGGAGACATGGGATGGAGGAGATCCCCTAAGGAGAAAGGATGCGGAAGGAAGAAAAGAGGCACAAACATGGCGGGCAGAGAGTGAGGAGGAAAACTGGCATTTGTGCTGCTGAGGGGATGAGTGAAAGACAGGAGCTCTTCTACGGGATGTAGTAACACGGAGCTCCCTGGGACCCTCAGCAAGTGTATGGGAGTGGGGCATCCACAGGCTGCATTGCATGCTACTGAGGAGTGTCAGATAAAGGAACAAACTTGGGAACGTAAATGTGTTTGTTTGGTTTTTTTTTAAGATTTTATTTATTTATTTGACAGAGAGAGACACAGCAAGAGAGGGAACATAGGCAGGGGGAGTGGGAGAGGGAGAAGCAGGCTTCCTGCGGAGCAGGGAGCCCGATGAGGGACTCAATCCCAGGACCCTGGGATCATGACCTGAGCCGAAGGCAGATGCTTAATGACTGAGCCACCCAGGCACCCCAGGAGCATAAATTTGGATACTTGAATATACACATTGTTTTTGAGAATTTTGACCCTGAAGGAGAAGAGGAGAAAAGTATATAAATCACTTTTAAGAGGGAAAAAGATGCGCACAACATTTGTTTAAGAAATGTCCTTTTGGGGCTCCTGGGTGGCTCAGTCAGTTAAACGTCCGACTCTTGATTTTGGCTCAGGTCATGATCTCAGGGTTGTGAGATTGAGCCCCATGTCAGGTTCTGCACTGAACGAACGTGCAGTCTGCTTAAGACTCTCTCTCTCCCTCTCCTTCCCCCCTCCTGCATCCTCTCTCTCTCTCTCAAAAAAATAATCTCATAGATTATTTAGAAATGTGTTATTTAATTTCCATATATTTGTAAGGGTTTTTTTTTAGCATCTTATTTTTATTGATTTCTAATTTAATTTCTCTATAAAACTCCTCTAGAAGAAGGAAGAAAGTCTATGACCTTCAATTAGGCAAAGACTTTTTTTTTAAAAGATTTTATTTATTTATTTATTTGACAGAGAGAGAGACAGTGAGAGAGGGAACACAGTCAGGGGGAGTGGGAGAGGGAGAAGCAGACTTCCTGCTGAGCAGGGAGCCCGATGTGGGCCTTTATCCCAGGACCCTGGGATCTTGACCTGAGCCGAAGGCAGATGCTTAACAACTGAGCCACCCAAGCGCCCCTAGGAAAAGATTTTTTAGATTTGACACCTAACGCATGACCCTTAAAGGAAAAAGTGATAAATTGGAGTTCATCAAAATTAAAAATGTTTGCTGTTCAAAAGAAATCATTAAGAAAATGAAAATCCGAGCCACAGAATGGGAGAAAATCATATGTTTAGCAAAGGATTTGTTTCTAGAATACATCGAGAATTCTTACAACTCAATAATAGGAAGATAAACAACCCAGTCAAAAAATGTGCAAATTTCACCAAAGGAGATATACAAATGGCCGATAAGTACATGTATAATGCTCTCAACATCATTAATCGTTAGAAAAGTACAAATCAAAACCACAGTGAAATACTACTTCACACCCACTAGAATGGCTATACTAATAAAAGATAGACAATAACAAATTTTGGCAAGGATATAGAGAAGTGAGAACCTTCCTATGTCACTTGTGGGAATGTAAAATGATACAAACACTTGGGAACACGGTTTGGGGTTTCTTCAAAGGTTAAACACGGACTGAGGAGTTCCACTTCTGGGTGTATACCTGAGAGAAATGAAAACCTATGTCTACTCAAAGACTTCTGTGCAAATATTTAGAGCAGCATAATTCATAATAACCCCAAACTGGATGTAATTCAAATGTCCATCAACTGATTAATGGGTAAATAAAATGTGGTATATCCATACAAAAGAATAGTGTCCCACAGTAAAACAGAACAGACTACCGATACACGCTACAATGTGGATGAATCTGAAAAACATGCTAAGCAAAAGAAGCCAGACATAAAAGACCACATGCTGTAGGATTCCATTTATATGAAATGTTCAGAAAAGGCAAATCTGTAGAGAAGAAAAAGTAGGTTGATAGTTGTCTGGGGCTGAATGGGAATGGAGAGTGACTGCAAGTAGATATGGGGTTTCTTTTGGGGATGATGGAAATGTTCCAAAATTAAATCATGGTGATGGTTCCACGGTCTTCTTAAATGTATTGAAACTTGTTTCATGACCGAGCACATGGTGTATCTTGGTGAACGTACCTCCAGAATTTTAAGCTGTGATATCCTCTCTCTTGCTACGTGTTTCTATCCCCCAAACTCTCATGCCCTCCAGCCTGCTCTTGGATCTTATTGATGACCTGAAACTCTCCCCCATTAAGGCCACAGTTCTTCCCTATCCAGTCTAGACATCACTACTAATATTTTTTTTTAAAGATTTTATTTATTTATTTGACAGAGAGAGACACAGTGAGAGAGGGAACACAAGCAGGGGGAGTGGGAGAGGGAGAAGCAGGCTTCCCGCCGAGCAGGGAGCCCGATGCGGGGCTCGATCCCAGGACCCTGAAATCATGACCCGAGCCGAAGGCAGTCGCTTAACGACTGAGCCACCCAGGCGCCCCCACTACTAATATTTTTTAAAAGCCATCAATCCACTGGCCCCCTTGCTCTGTCTCCTTGTTCATCCTCTATTTTGAGTGGGTCCACAATCGGCCTTTGCTCCTTCACCAGTGACTGAGCACTGCCAGGGGGCCTCTCCAGCATGCTCATGAGGGCCCCTATCCCTTCACTCTCTCCAGCCTCTGGAGGCCCCCAACTTGCCCAGCAGTCTTTGGTCTCTTCCACCTTCCCCAGCTGGTCTTTCTAACCTTCACCTCTCCCCTTAGCCACCGTACTCCTCCCCCACCCACTCACCCTCCTTGACTGCTATCAAGTGTAACTCCTTTGTTCCCCCAGCTTCCTGTCAGACTTATCTTGGCCTGTACCCTCACTTCCTGCCCGGTGGCCCTAGGAGGAAGTCTAAGCTCTGAATCCCCTCCCCACCTTCTTCCTTCAGGCCAGGATCCTGCTCTCGAACCTACTGTCCTGCAGCATGTCAGCCTTTCAGTCTCCTCTGCCAACTTCCGGGTTGCAGCCAAGAAGTAACATCTGGGGGCTCTAAGACCCCAAAACGAACTAAAACCCTCTCTGGACCTTCCCACTTTAGCCAGCAGGCTTGTTCTTCCCTTGCTGCCTCCTTTCCTCCCCTCCCTCCTTGTCCCCTTTTCCCTTTTGGTGTCCTGCTGTGTCATATATCTCCTTTGTTCGTGCTTTTTCACTCCCTCACTCTGCCCACCCAGCCATCACGTATTCATCTGTCAAGACCAGCCTTAACTCCTCTAAGAGGCCTTCCTAGACCCTTAGTCCAGCCCTCCCTTGAGCCCCCTCTGTGCCCCTCCTGGACTCATCACACTTCGGCTGGCACCTCGGTTTCACCCACTGGGTCATAAGCT